TGAGTTTAAATTCGTGCTCACCATTGAAAAATATTTTCAATTATTATTTAGTCACCTAACAATGAATTCAAAAGTTGATCAATGGAATCTATTTTGAAATGGTTGAGGTTGAGCATTTGAAGTCAAATTTCACATTTTCTTGAATTCTATTTGTTGAGAAAAAGCAAGTCCCTCAATATAAGAGAAGAAAAGATATGAAGGAAGCAATCTCCTCATTATTTTTCTTTTCAAAAAACCAAAAAAAAAAAATCAAAAAGGTCATGAAGGGTGCAATCTCCTCATGTTTTTGACTTGCGTGACAATTACTTGGCTCTAATTTCTCCTTCCCTTTATAGGCAAGTGGCTAAAGTTGTTCTTGACAATGAAGAATCCATGTGTAAAACAAATAATTAGAGGATAGATTTACTCATCCATTTATCTAATAGAAACATTGGGAACTTATCTTTCAAAATGCCAACTAGATAAATCCATGATTTGTTATAATGCTTATATTTCTTTAGGTGTTGAAAGATTGGTCCTAAAAAGAATTATCCAAGAGTTTGTTCACCTATTCTCACTAGAGCTCTTATAAGGAAGATGGCTGATAAAGCTAATTTAGAGAAGGTAGCTCTGGAAAATTATGTTAAAAATATGGAAAATACTTTGAAGGAATTGATGGCTTCCTTCCAATCTTTTTAAGCAACCTTAGTCACAAGAGCACCTTTGACAACAAATCCCTTGTTTGAAGGAAATGTTTTTGTGGCAAATCTCCCTATCGCCACATCTACTCTTGGAAAGGAGCCAATGTCATCTTGCCCACCAAATTCAACTATTGGTGGAACTTATGGGACAAAGCCATTTGATCTAAATGCTGGTGTTGCTACAGTTCAGTCTAATGATCAAGTAAAGACTCAAGTTGTCAAGTCAATCACAGAGGATGAAGATAAGGCAATTAAAGCGAAGGTGCAGTTGATGGAGGGAACACTAAAATCGATGCAAGGTGTCCAAACTAATAAACCGATTAACATCTCATCTTTGTGCTTTTTCCCAAACATTCAACTGCCCCATAAGTTTAAATTGCCTGAGTTTGATAAGTACAATGGCTCTGGTTGTCCTTATGCCCACTTGACAATGTGTTATATGAAGATGGCTCCTTATGCCAATGATGAGAAGCTAATGATACATTACTTTCAAGACAGTCTGACAGGTCCTGCTAATGCTTGGTTCTTAACTTTAGACAAGAGTAAAGTTAAGAGTTGGCATGATTTAACTCATAATACAACACATCGTTAGCTCCTAGTAGAGAAGATCTTCAAATAGCAGAAAATAAACCAAGTGAGAACTTTAAGGAATTCGCTCAAAGATGGTGTGGGTGTGGATTGGCTGCTCAAGTTCAACCTTCACTGATTGATCATGAATTAAGTAATTTATTCATCAAGTCAACCAAAGGGCCTTATTGTGAGAAGTTAATAACTTGTGTGAATTACACTTTTGCCTAGTTGGTTGTTGTGGGAGAACAAGTGAAGGATGGAATCAAGTCTGGAATTATCATGGATTATCAAGCAATGAAGAGTCTCCTTGAACAATACCAAAATGATAGTTCAGGGGCTTCTAGTTTAAAGAAGGTTGGCCATAATCGAAAGAAGGAAGAGGAGAATGGTACTATAAGCTCAATTTATGAAACATATGGGAGAAATAATCAGCCACGTCCTCGAGGGCAATTCAATAATTCTTTCCAAGCCCCAACTTATCAACCGACAATTTTTACAAGTCAGCCAAGGCCACTTTATGCCTCTGGTATCAATCGTCTGCAACAAAAAGTGAGACAACATTTCGACAAGCTTCCTTTGTCATACACTGAAGTGTTTAAACAATTGGTAGCAACTGGTCTTGTTACTCCTGTACCTATGGTTCCAATAAAACCACCATTTCCAACGTGGTACAATTCACAAGCAAGATGTGAATATCACAACGGAGGTGTTGAGCATGACCTTGAAAATTGTTTGGCTTTAAGGCATCGTGTTCAAGATTTGATAGAGGCAAAGGAGTTACAGATTGCATTAGAACCTGAAGTTGTTGGTTTGAATATCACTGAAAACCCCCTACCACCACATGATGGTTCAACAGTCAATATGATCGAGAAGGATTTTGAGGAAGGTCAAGAGGTGGCTGTAGTTACTCTCACTAATCAAGTTTCATCAACTCCTAGATAGCCTTTAATATTGAAGGGGCCAATGCTTACAATTTCACTCAGACAAGGTTGATATTAGAACTGCTATTTATGAGGGCTTGATTAAGTGAACAATGGAGTTTTTCCCTATTGCTATCATTTTGGAATGAAAGGTGTCTATCATGTTAGTCTTTTTTTGCATTTTCCAAACTCCTTTCATATTGCAATTTGAATCTTTGTTCTTCATGTTTTAATTCATGGTTCTTTAGTTCTTGATTTTTACTTCCATGAGTTGCGCTGTTAGTGAACTTGAATTCAATATTGAACCCCATAAAGAAACTTGAGGCCTAAGGAAAGAGGAAAGTTTGAGAAATAAGGGAAGTGACTGAGGGAGAAATAATGGATGAGTAGGAATGAGAGAAATGTACAAAGAGAAATTGATCTCAAAATTTGAAACAAACATTCCTATGATAGAAAGTTTGAGAATTCTTATCCTTACCATTTGAAACCTTGCCAAGGATTCATCTTTAAGAATTGCCACAAATTGCACAAAACCAAAAAAAAAAAAAAAAAAAAGAAAAGAAAGGAAAATGGTGGAATTTCTGCTAACTTTGTTAGGTGATTGTTATCATTTTGATACTTATGGTAGAAGATCCAAGGATGGAAGGCCTTCCTTTTGAAACTTCATTCCCTAAACCTTGAAAGATTACCTTTAGTTAAAGACTTTGAGCTTAATTTCAATGAATATTCTTTCATGACCAATTCAACAACCTGGGAATATGGTTGCATGCCAAACTGGGGGCAAATGTTACTTTCATTGGAAGATTTGGTAAAAATTATTTTGAAAGGAAGAAAGAAGCTAAAAAAAAAATGGGATAAAGGAGCCAATAAAGGAGAAGAAAAGTTTTAAAATAAATTGAAGAAGAAATCTCTAAGACATGGCATGCAATTGGGGGGCAAATTGGGTACTTCAAGCCTATATTGACTATTCTTTCAGTAGCCATACCTAAGCCCTATAACAAGCTATAAAAGTCCTTTTTGAGGGTTGGATATTTGTAGACATTTTCATGATGGCAATCACCGAACTAAGGATAGCAAATCATACTCAAATTAAAGAGCTTTTAGGTTCAATGACGAAAGGCCTTGTTTCTATTTCCCAAACACTAAAAGTTGACCTTAGTTACCCACTTTGAGCCAAAAGAAAAGGCAATCACCATAATAGAAAAGCCAGGATGATTATTTCTTTGAATGTACCTGCATCAAGAACTTGGGGTGTGAAGAGTGAAATTAGCGGGGGAGAAGGGATTTTATCATTGAGCAAAGCCCTAGACCATGATACAAGCTTATTCAAAGCCCTTAT